TAATTCCACAAAAATAAATGATTATAAATATCTATTTTGTGGTGAGAAAAGTTTTTATTTGCAATATTCTTTTCGTGAATAAGAAATAAATGGATATTATGTGTTTGTTCATGTAAAATGGACTGACTCATGTGGATTCGAAAAAATATAGTTGATCTGCTCGCTAGAGCTGGCAGAGAAAATAATGAATGCACTACACTGCCGACTATAACTTATATACACAAATGAACAATGACTTTATAAAGGTCATAATCCAAATGATTTTCTAGAACGTGGCGCTGATTTTTTACTTTTTGTAGAATTTATCTTGATTTTCTATAAAATTGCAATTGACTTTCAAACATTTTAAAAAGTCACTGTTGATTTTTCAATTTTTTGGAAAAGAATTTTTCTGAAAATCAAATTGAACTTCTATAATTTAGAAAATCAAGCATTTTCTGAATATTTTAAATTCGACGAATGAATAATAAAAATTCAAAAATGCTTTAGCTTATTTAAAGTCGATTTTCTAAAAAGTAGAATTTCAAAAAAATTTACAATGTAAGAAAAATCAACTTATTTACAGCATTTTCAAGAGAATGCGTTAATGCTTAGAAGATGTCAATAGCTCTTTTTGACATATGAACTTGGTGAAAACAATTTTTAAAGTATTTTTCAGTGTTGTCACTAACCATTAGGGGTGTTACTTTATATTTACTTTACTTTTTAAAGATAAATAAAACCTTTATGTTTAAAAAATAAAGATAAATGAAATTTTTATATTTATAAAATAAAGAATAAAGAATTTATGAAATCTTTATTCTTTAAAAAATAAAGATAAATAAAATATTTATATTTATAAAGAAAAGATAACGATAATCTTTATCTTTATAAAATAAAGAAAAAGAAAAAGTAGCTTTATCTTTATTTAATAACGATAAAATAAAGAATAAAGAAAAATATTTTTCCTTAAAAACCAAAAATTTGGTCTTCTCCCGATAGCTCGAAGAAAATTAAGAAGTTCAAGGCTTTCAAATTTTGAACACTAGATTTTTTTCCGTAAATGATCTATGCCTCACCATCATTTGCTAGTATTATTTCATACTGCAATGTCGGTGATGATAAGCAAAAACTGCAATCAATGTCTTCTGTTGTTATACAAATTATTCATCTATTTACCAGTGACTGTAGAAAATCTTTATTTTTTCTTTATTTTAACTTTATTTGTAAAAATAAAGATTATCTTTATCTTTATTCTTTATTTTATAAATATAAAGATTTCATTTATCTTTATATTATAAAAATAAAGATCTATAAAGATAAAGTAACACTCCTACTAACCATTCTAAAATATTTTTTCCCTTATTTGTAACCATATTAATAGAGTGTACTTTATCCTGTAAAATTTATTTTAATATTTTAGAGAAGGCTATGGCAACGCGTTACGCTTCCCATCAAGTTTCACGTTTTTCGGATATTACCGAAAAAACAAATATCGCCGATGAGATGATGACCAAAGCAAAGACTGTTCGTAGTGATTGCATGCGTTATCTCGATGTTAACAAAGAACCCGACGTAATCTTACCTCCAATACCAATTTCTATCTCTCAAACTCATAAGGATAGTCTTTCATTACTTGAAACTATCAAACGCCTGGAACATTTAATAAATGATTTACAAGGGAAAGTTACGTATTCGTTGGAAAAGTGTAAGAATCCTAAACAAGGCCTTAGTCAAGACGAGTCAGCAGCTTTGTATCTCTACTCATTGCAATGGCCAAACGGTCAACATTCTCTTTATTCAATGTTCAATTGCGCTCTTCGAGATGAGGATCGCACGAAGTTGGTTCCCTTTCAAGATTATTACAACTTGTTCATGTCAGCACTCAAGAAACTTCCATCAATTCAAGAACAGGTATGGCGTGGTGTGAATGGTGATCTGAGCAAGAAGTACCGCCCGGGAACAGTACATGTTTGGTGTGGAGCTAGTAGCTGCACAGATATGGTTAAAGTAACTGACACATTTCTTAATGAAACGATTCCTCGTACACTGTTCAACATCAAATGCTTTAATGGTAAAAATATTATACACCATTCAGATTTCCCAAATGAACGTGAAACAATTTTGGCACCCGGAACGTATTTGAAAGTGAGGTCACAATCAAATCCAGCTCCGAATTTTCATATTGTTGATTGTGAACAAATTGAACCAATAGTTAAATATCTTCTGTGGTTAACTCCAAATATTAACCAATCGCAAGATAATTTGAAGCTGCAGGAAAAACTACATGAATTATTTGCTGATAAATTTCGGGCGTATGAAAAGGAGGAAGAATGTGAAATGTTCATCGACAAGAAGAAAAATGATGAAATATTACTGATTGTCACGGGACAAATCGGGCGGCACCTGGTACCGAAACTTCACGACCTATTACAACTGAGAGCAGTTTTTGTCTATTGTATGGATAAGGAAGGAAATCAGAAATGGTCAAAGAATTTTCCCAAGGTTGTAATGATTTCAGATATATCACCCTCGAAACGGTGTAATACTCGTTTTCTCCTTTTTTCTATAGGTCACAGCAGTTGTCGTCCGCCTGAAGGAACTGATTCAGGAAGTTGAAAAAGAAATGAATAAACCAATACTTGCGTTCGAAGGAGGGACACCTTCTGAGTAAGTTATTGCGCAGCCAAAACTATCTGTGGAAGATTCCCTACGCTCACATGTAATACACTGTATATGTCTAGGCCAGATGAATTACCTGCATCGAGCAACAATGAGATGCACATACGCGGCTATGAGAAAATGCCTCTGATCTCCATTGAGGAAGCCGTTCAACCTCTTCATACGATGGTGCCGGACGTTCAGAGGTTTGTTTATTTGGCTAAACGACACTGTGACGATGAAGAACCGAAGGATGGCTTAAGTAAGGACGAATCAGCTGCGATTATGTTGTACACTATGGAATGGGAAGCTAGTCTCTATCGCATTCTCAATCAAACGCTACGAAGTGAAAACCGCAATAACGTTAAATCATGGTTTTCGTATTTAAAATTAGTTTTGACTGCACTGCGTAAACTACCATCATTTGAAGGAGTTGTCTGGCGTGGTGTACGGGACGATCTGAGTCAACGTCATATGCAAGGTGAACGTGGTGTCTGGTGGGGTTTTACAACAACAACGATGAATGCTAACGTGCTCGAAGATGAAACGTTTCTTGGTAAAACAGGAAAACGTACACTTTTCTCAATTCAATGTAAAGATGGAAAACGCATAGGGAGTCACTCTTTCTATCCGCACGAAGAGGAAATATTATTATTGCCTGGTTTCTCATTCCAAGTTGTGAGTGTGTTACAAACGGCACCTGACATGCATATGATCAGTTTGAAAGAAATTGGCGTGTATTAATATAATCGTGGCACAGGCGCATAAACAGACACAGAGCAACGTCGTCGTATTGTACTACTGATACATGAAATACTCTACTGTATGTTTCGAAACAGACTGGTTTTTCACTTCATCTTATGCTTTTTAAAATTTGCAGGTGTGGGGCGTGGGTTGTGAAGAAGTTGCTGTAACGAACAACTAGATTGGATTAGCTTGTGCCACTCTCGGCAAAGATGTTTATTAGGCTACTTCAAGTTATCCAGAGTGTAACGACAATATTAGAGAGTGTCGCCTATGCCCGTCGGCATGATGGTGTATTGTGTCATCTGACATCTCCAGAGTGTAACAACTTCATACATGACGCACGTATATATAGGAGAGAGATACATTAGAACAATGGAAAGAGAACAGAAAGAGAAGGAAGGAGAATCATCGAAGCGTTCCATCAATATCGGCACAGTTGCCATGGCGTGTTTTGCTTCTGCTAGATGACTCTTCAGATGGCTTTAGATCTATCCCATGTGAAAATTTCAGCGAAAAAGCTAGTTTAAAGTCGCTTAAAAATTCGC